CACCTTTAGGGTTTATATCTTGTTGCACTTGATGTAAGAAGAGCCACGGCACCTTTAGGGTTTATACCTTGTTCCACTTGATATAAGAAGAGCGACGGCACCTTTAGGGTTTATATGTTGTTGTACTTGATGTAAGAAGTGCCACGACACCTTTAGGGTTTGTATGTTGTTGCACTTGATGTAGGAAGAGCCACGACACCTTTAGGGTTTATATCTTGTCTCACTTGATGTAAGAAGAGCTAAGACACCTTTAGGGTTTATATCTTGTTGCACTTGATGTAGGAAGAGCCACGACACCTTTAGGGTTTATATCTTGTTGCACTTGATGTAAGAAGAGCCACGGAACCTTTAGGGTTTATATCTTGTTGCACTTGATGTAAGAAGAGCCACGACACCTTTAGGGTTTATATCTTGTTGCACTTGATGTAAGGAGAGCCACGACACCTTTAGGGTTTATATCTTGTCTCACTTGATGTAAGAAGAGCTAAGACACCTTTAGGGTTTATATCTTGTTGCACTTGATGTAGGAAGAGCCACGACACCTTTAGGGTTTATATCTTGTTGCACTTAATGTAAGAAGAGCCACGACACCTTTAGGGTTTATATCTTGTTGCACTTAATGTAAGAGCCAGAGCTTGTTGCACTTGATGTAAGAAGAGCCACGGCACCTTTAGGGTTTATATCCACTTGTTGCACCTTTAGGGTTTATATGTTGTTGTACTTGATGTACGAAGTGCCACGACACCTTTAGGGTTTGTATGTTGTTGCACTTGATGTAGGAAGAGCCACGACACCTTTAGGGTTTATATCTTGTTGCACTTGATGTAAGAAGAGCCACGACACCTTTAGGGTTTATATCTTGTTGCACTTTATGTAAGACGAGCCACGACACCTTTAGGGTTAATATCTTGTTGCACTTGATGTAAGAAGAGCCACGACACCTTTAGGCTTTATATCTTGGCGCACTTGATGTAAGAAGAGCCACGACACCTTTAGGGTTTATATCTTGTTGCACTTAATGTCAGGAGAGCCACGACACCTTTAGGGTTTATATCTTGTTGCACTTAATGAAAGAAGAGCCACGACACCTTTAGGGTTTATATCTTGTTGCAATTGATGTAATAAGAGCGACGACACCTTAAGGGTTTATATCTTGTTGCACTTAATGTAAGGAGAGCCACGGCACCTTTAGGGTTTATATCTTGTTGCACTTGATGTAGGAGTAGAAGTAGAAGGAGAAGTAGAAATAGATGTAGAAGTAGAAGTAGAGCTGAAAGTAGAAGTGGAAGTAGAAATAAAGGTGAAAGTATATGTAGAAGTGGACGTAGAAGTAGAAGTGGAAGTAGAAGGAGAAGTAGAAATAGATGTGGAAAAGTAAGTAGAAGGACAAGTAGGAATAGAGCTGAAAGAAGAAGTGGAAGTAGAAAGAGAGGTGCAAGTAGAGGTCGAAGTGCAAGGTTGTAGGTGCACAAGCGAGACGATTCTCAGGTGCACAAGCGAGTACCATGCCCTTTCGGCCTATCTACCTATCTACCTATCTACCTATCTATCTATCTATCTACCTACTTCCATTCTAGTATCAAATTGCTGTTGCGAAGGTTGTAGGATTAAATGATTAAGTGATTATAGGAAGCCCCAGGTCCACTACCCCCACTGCAGGGGTAATCTAGATAAATAGACAAACGAGAAATGGGAAGTGTACTAGGCTGAAGGTCTCCGCTAAGAAAGGTACATCTGCAACCTTTGCAATGACAAATGCATCCTAGCATGGGAAGATTAGGGAAATGGAGTGAGAAGAAAATGCAAAGTGCATTACAAAGACGTAGCAAAAGCACCCTTAGAACAACGAATGGGGCCTAGGCACAAACATTATGAAGAGATAATTGCTTATAGTACCTAGTACCGGCACTGAATATGGGTAAAGAAGAGTGACTGCCCTAGGTGGAAAGATGAAGGCGCTCTGTCAAGACGTAAATCTGCCACCCTTACAACAGCAAATAGACACTAGCCCTGCCACCTGCACACCGTGGGAGAAATCGGCCTCTCTGCTGCTCATTTTTCTGTCCTGGAGGGTCTGAATGTGGTATCGCTCGTATCTACCTGTCGTTGCAATGCTGGTAAGTTTATGTCTGTTAGGAAGGCCTTCGGCCTAGTACTCTATCCACTTGTCTTCTTATCAAGATATTTTGTCTGAAGGCAAATGGTAGCGCCAGTATCTGTTTCTCGTTGCAAGGGTGGTAGGCGCACATCTTTAAGAAGAACCTTCGGCCTAGTACCGTTTCCACTTTTCTTCTTCACATTTTCCTCTTCAGAAGGCCCTGAATGCGGCAGAACTACTATCTATCTGTCGTGGTAAGGGTGGTAGGTTTATGTCTTTGAGGAAGGCCTTCGGCCTAGTAACGTGTCCACTGCTCTTCTTCACCTTGCCTTCCTCTTTTCACTCCTCATTGTCATTTTTCTGAAGGCTCTGAATGTGGTAGGGCTAGTACCTGTTTGTCATTGCAAGGGTGGTAGGTTTATGTCTTTTAAGGGGGCCTTTGGCCTAGTACAATTCCCATTTCTCGTCTTTTCCTCGTGGGATGAACGTGGTGGGGCTTGCATTTCGAATGAGAAGACGCTTCCCAGTTTTAATTTTGAAGGCTTGCCTCTTACTAGTGCTTCATGTTCACCGTATGTCATGTACTCTTCTTCTCCCCTTCCTTTTACTTGGTTGAAGTTGGAAGGGTTGGATCATTGGGGCATGAAAGAGCACACTTGACGAGATAAGTAGATAAATGCAATGTAGATATATTTGTAATAAATATTTAAATTACTGTATATATGTATAATATATATATATATATATGCGTAAACACATGTAAACACATACACTTACATACACATGTAGTGCGGCCACACATCTAAGTATCTTTCTGCTTATGTATCTCTTCCAACCAACTCCCTAGCTCTAAACCTCGTTTTTTTATTTACTAACTCACTAAATCACTGACTGTCTGTAAATTTATCTAGATTACCCCTGCACTTCTGTCCTTTTCTTGGAATTTGTCTCAGAGCCTGCAGATGGCAGGGCTAGTATCTATTTGTTGTTGCGCGGGTGGCAGGTTGATGTCTTTAGGCAGGCCTTCGCCCTCTCTTCTGCTCATTGTTCTGTTCTGGAGGGTCTGAAAGTGGTATGGCTCGTATATATCTGTCGTTGCAATCATGGTAGGTTTGCGTCTTTTAGGAAGGCCTTCGGCCTAGTGCTCTATCCACTTGTCTTCTTGTCAAGACACCTATCCGAAGGCACGTGGCAGCGCTAGTATGTATTTCTCGTCGCAAGGGTGGTCGGCGCATGTCTTTAAGAAGAACCTTCGGCCTGGTAACGTGTCCACTGCTCTTCTTCACCTTGCCTTCCTCTTTTCACTCCTCACTGTGATTTTTCTGAAGGCTCTGAATGTGGTAGGGCTAGTACCAATCTGTCGTTGCAAGGGTGGTATGTCTTTTAGGGGGGCCTTCGGCCTAGTACACTTCTCTTTCACTTTATCTTCCTCTGAAGGCTGTACATGTGATAGGACTAGAACCTGTTTGTCATTGCAAGGGTGGTAGGCGCATGTCTTTTAGGAAGGCCTTCGGCCCGGTACTGTTTCCACGTCTCTTCTTCACACTGTCTTCTTCACAAGGCTCTGACTGTGGTAGGTAGCTGCCTTCACAAAATGGATTCTGTGAAGGGAGCTGCCTTCACAAAATGGATTCTGTGAAGGGAGCTGCCTTCACAAAGTGAATTCTGTGAAGGGAGCTGCCTTCACAAAATGGATTCTGTGAAGGGAGCTGCCTTCACAAAGTGGATTCTGTGAAGGGAGCTGCCTTCACAAACTGGATTCTGTGAAGGGAGCTGCCTTCACAAAATGGATTCTGTGAAGGGAGCTGCCTTCACAAAATGGATTCTGTGAAGGGAGCTGCCTTCACAAAATGGATTCTGTGAAGGGAGCTGCCTTCACAAAATGGATTCTGTGAAGGGAGCTGCCTTCACAAAATGGATTCTGTGAAGGGAGCTGCCTTCACAAAATGGATTCTGTGAAGGGAGCTGCCTTCACAAAATGGATTCTGTGAAGGGAGCTGCCTTCAGCTGCCTTCACGAAATGGATTCTGTGAAGGGAGCTGCCTTCACGAAATGGATTCTGTGAAGGGAGCTGCCTTCACGAAATGGATTCTGTGAAGGGAGCTGCCTTCACAAGAGAGATTCTGTGAAGGGAGCTGCCTTCACAAAATGGATTCTGTGAAGGGAGCTCCCTTCACAAAATGGATTCTGTGAAGAGAGCTGCCTTCACAAAAGGGATTCTGTGAAGGGAGCTGCCTTCACAGAATGGATTCTGTTGTTCAGGGCTTTTTGAGCTTTCTTGCTGGCTGGAGCTCCTTTTCTTGCTGCTTGGGCTCCTTGAGCTCATGGCTTTTTTTCAAGCCTCAGAAATTTGAAAATAAAAAAGACGAAGCACAAAGTGAGCCAATATACAGCTGCAGCAACCATGCAATTGCCATACATAGATGTTCAGACAGCCTGAATAAAATGAACTGGATGCACATCCCCCTCAACCCTCATGGCTACAAGTATCTCGCAGATATATCTCAAAAAAAATAAGAATTCATTTTTTCAATAATTATTCTTATATTTTTCAATAATTGTTGATTTTTTCAATAATTATTGTTTTTTCAATAATTATTGTTTTTCAATAATTATTGTTTTTTTCAATAATTGAAACCGATATTGATGTTTTTTTTCAATAATATTATTGAAAAAAATCAATAACGAAGCCGTTTCAATCCGGATTGAAACGACCTCAGGATTGAAAAAAATCAATCCCTGGACCCTCAGGGGTTATACGCACACACACATATATATATATATAAACAAATAAATATGTATATATACACATACCATAAACCAGAGTTAACCATATAGTTGACATCCCATTGTCAAACAAACCCATTGGTCTCCCTCCTTAGGTCACCATTTTCCCAGGCACCGATGGCATCCGACGGCGCCCGCAGCAGCGCGGCAAAGCTATCGAAGGGCTGCAGCTCGGGACGGATGCGGCGATGCAGGGCTTGAACCTTGGCACTGCGAGTCACCGAAAAATTATTATTGTAGGACTAGTCTAGAACAAGATTCTGATTATTGGAACAAGTGGTGCCTCCTACAATAATCAGAGTTGGAAAAAGAATGAAAAAGGCATCACCAAAGCAATTCTGATTCTAGGACAATTCTTATTCTATAGTATTGCTACCCCTCATTATTCTCAAATCATAAAGACGGGTCTCCAGTCATAAGAACAGTTTGATCTGAGAATAATCCATTGTGGGTAGTCTCCCTGTATCCCCCTATTTCAAAGGTTCTGTGTCAGGAGCTTCGCTTTTTGAGGATGACACGCACAGAGATATACAGTGATATATATATATATATACATATATATATATAGATATACATATATATATACATATTATATATATATGTATAATACTTTCTCATTCTTTGGGGCCCCCAGCAGGTATATAATTGTTGAAACTTAAAAATCCCGCGAAGCTTGAAGGAAACAACTAATCGACTGACCACTACACTACACCATATTACACCTGTGTGACGCAACACACTTTACAGCACATAATCATCTTCAAATGGACCCCCTACCGAGTTTCCATGATTTTGTATTGCCATGTTGCCATACTTGGGCATATCACAGCTACAATGGCCATGTCAACAATTCAGGTTTCCCTTGGCATCAATTCATCAGCGATCTTCGGGCCCACCAAGCTGCAACTTCCACGTCTCCCAATGTCAAGCGCAGGGCTGCAGCAAAGTGCACGCCCACATCGACGATCCAATTGCCTCCGGTGACTTGGCCGGATCCCCTTGGCAAGTCTCATGACTCTTGAAATCAAATGTAACATATTTTTTTTACAAATCTTGTAATGTGGGCACCACAATAATAAACCATTCCCAAGAACACCATAAATGGGTGCTGTAAACCATCCTCAAATGGTCTTTTTTTGGGACCCTTTTGATCATCAGTTCCAAATGGCCCCGCAAAATGAATAGATCCAGGGCCAGTAAAACGCCGCATGACTTTCAAAGTCAAAGCTCTCTTTTCATCACCAATACCAACACTGATTCTTTCAGCAGGGCCATTCCTTATATTGAAAACAATTAATATAAACTAATCCCCTCCCCACAAATGTAAGCCCTGGTTTCCTATTGGATTAGATGATTAGCTCATTTTGGAGGTCCAACCGGGAGGTATTGAAAATAATAGATAAAATTAGAGGGATGGGATTAGGCATGTAGCCCCACAGCTAAAGCAGTCCAGATTCTATCTTGGGACATGCGCCACGTGCCCGGCTGCATGTAGGAAACCTCCGACGGCATGAAGCCTAAAGAACTCCCAGTGAACGCCAACGCGGGCCCCAAGATTTTCGAAGACAGCACTGCAGCGGCAATGCGAAAGGATGGCTCGAACCTACAGGGCCCAGGGGGGGTCTTGGAGGCACTGACCGCTGGGAAAAAACTCCGGTTGATCCAACAATGTGCCTTTTGAACTGGGATCATCATCGCAGACAGGATGGAAAAGGGAAGATGTGTGACATATGTGTATATATATATATATATGGAAATAAATATGCAAGTGTGTATATATATATATACATATGTAAATATATGTATAAATGTATATATGTAAATATGTATATATGTAAATATGTATATATATATTTATATTTGTATGTATGTATATAATGTATTATATATGTATATATCTGTATTAAATATTTGTATATATGTATGTATATATTTGTATATATGTAAGTATGTATGTATATATGTATATGTATTAAATATTTGTATATATATATATATATATGTATATGTATATGTATTATATATTTGTATATATTGTATCATATATTTGTATATATGTATTATATATCTGTATATATGTATTATATATCTGTATATATGTATATCTTTGTATATATGTAAGTATATATTGTAAATCCATATCGTTGCATCCTCCCAAGCTTGCCTCTGTTTAGCCTTCCTGTCCTGCAGGTCCATGATCCACCAGTAAATGCCACTTAGCACATCGGCTCAGGATAGCCCGAGGCGGGCGGGTAGGGAAACTGTTGCTTGCAGCCATAGGTGGAACGTGGCCGTTCAGACAATAGAGCCAGGGGCTCTTTTAGCACTTGTGGCCAGCCGGCCTTTGCAGTTCGAAGCCGCCTTGGAACCTGGGACGTTTTGCCCTTTGTGGTCGGGGAAAAGACCGCTTGCAGTTTGACTGGAAAGCCGTTGCCAGTGTTGATTTGGGATTTGTCCACTCACACTGGTAGCGGAGCAGCCGTTACCAAAGACGGAAGGATCCGGGGAGGAAACCGGTGCCACTATGCCTGAAGCCTCTGATGGATCTGAAGGTTCAACTGGCAATGTGAGCAATCAACTTGCTCTTTTGGTCCCGACGTTTGACCCTAGCAAAGATGACTTACAGGTGTATCAACAGAAGGTTGCGCTTCTCCTTGAAGCTTGGCCCACCAACAAATACACTGAGCTGGCAACGAGACTGATTCTGAATTGTGCCGGATCTGCTTTCAAGAAACTGCAGTTGCACCAGTCAGAGTTAATGGTCAATGACCGGAAGTCGATCCAAAGGATCATTGAACTGTTAGGGGGACATTGGGGACAGATCGACCTCGAGAAGAAGTACGAGTTCGCGGAAAGAGCCTTGCATAAATGCAATCAGAAAAGCGATGAGAGCGCAGACTCTTATCTTGCCCGAGCTGACATCATGTGGACCGAGTTGAACAGTAAAAAAATTGCTCTGAGTGACCTCCAGGCCTACGTGACCTTGAGGGGTTCTGTGCTGTCGCCGGAGGACAAGAAAAGAGTCCTCATTGATGCAGATGTGGTGGACAAAGGTGAACTGACTGTAAAGCGTGTGAGCTCAGCAATCAGGATGCTTGGAGCAGGATTCTTCCAGGAGATAACTGCAGGGAGACGCACTACCAAGTTGAAGACCTACGACCAAGCCACGCTGGTGACCGAAGATTTTGACGAAGATCTTGAGCCAGCAATGGCTGCAGAAACGATGGAGGATGATGATCAAGCAGTTGAAACCCTGGCCCAGGACGGCGATGATGATGCCACACTGGTGATGGATTTCGAGAATGCTGCAGCCGAGCTCCTGCAAACGGATGAGGAGCTTGCAAGTGCTTACACCGCCTATACAGATGCCAGGCGCCGACTCAATGAAAAGGTGCGCTCGAAGGGATTTTGGCCTCCATCTTCCAAGGGAAAACCAAGAATGTGTGGAAAGGTGGAAAAGGCAAGTTTTCCAAGCGACACAATTCCTGCAGGAAAACGCTGCAACAGAGGATTCTGGAATCTCGATGCAGACTGTGCAATCAAGTTGGTCACTGGAAAGCGGAATGCCCAAGTCGTCGTGACTCCCAAGGTTCTGCTGCCAGAACGCCACAAGCACCAACGACGTTTGCCCAGGTGGTTGGATCTCGCAGGTACCCATGCATGCCAGTGATGTCCTGCCTATGGAATTCCTGAACTTGCCTGTAATCCACGAGCCAACCTTGGACGCAACTCAGCCAAGATGTGAAGCCGTTTTCATGACCCACCATGAAATATCCCAAAGTAGGCCCAGGCCCTCTAATGAGACCCGAGATAAGCTTCAAGAATCCCTGAAGAAATGGAAAAGCCATCAGTCAGCATCTTTTGTGTGCGCCAGGAGTGAAGATGATGATGCCAGTGTCGCCCGACAACGCCTTCGTCCAGTTGTTGAGAACAGCCGAGCCTTGTATGCCTCTGCCCGGAATGATTGTTCAGAGTTTGAACCTGCCTGTTTTGCATCCCATGGAAGCCTTGGTATAGTGGATTTGGGGGCTACTAAGACAGTGATAGGTAGTAAGCTTGTACCTGAACTTCTAAATGGGTTGGATCAAAACATTCGGAGTCAAATCAAACGTTGTCCATGTGTTGTAACGTTTCGGTTTGGGAACCATGGTGTGCTGCAGAGCCAGCAGGCTATCGTAGTGCCATTGCCAGGACTGCTGCTCAAAATCGCAGTGGTTCCAGCCAGGATCAACTCCGTTTTTGCTGTCAAACACCTTGCTGAGAGCCCTTGGGGCCACCATAGATACCTCACAACACATGTTGCATGCCACCAAACTAGGCAAGAGTTTTCCGTTGAATCTGACCAGCAAGGGTTTGTTTTTGCTTGATTTGAACGATCTCGCACAGCCCATTGAGAGATCATCGGAATTTTCCAGCATTGCTGAAACGCATGCCTCCACTGACAATCACTGTGACCATGCCAGGGTCCAGCCAAAAGGAAGTTCAATCAGTGCAGATCAAGGGGGTTTTGAGGAAGTTCAGGTATCAAGTGAAGATACAGCAATCCAAGCCACTGGAAAGTCACTTGACAAGACGGCTGAGTCAGACCGCATCTGTCACAGTTGCCAACCTGTACATAGAGACACCTCCGAACGCTCTGATCGGTCCAAGCCCATCCCTCGCAGTTTTCAGGTGATTTCACGATCTCAGCATGGCGATGTCCACCCTGGCCAATCGTCTGCAGAAGTTGCAGCAGACAGCACCCGATCCCGTGTTCGATTTCAGCCACCTCTCCATGGAGAAGCTCGAGGCTCAAGAGATCAAGTTCGGCAAAACACATGTGGACAAGACGTATCGCCACATGTGGGAAAACGAACAACGCTGGATTCTGTGGTTCTCCCAGCACTACAGCCGAAGCTCCAAGTGGGATCATCGAGAGTTTCTTCACTATGTGGAGATGAAGGTCGAGAGATGCGAACTGACAGGAACCAAGGTGTCAGTCCAAAGTGCCATCGAACAGGAGAAGGTGGCCAGTCAGGCCAGTTCAGCACAACAGCGGGGGGCCATGCCCAAAGCCAAAGCCATGATGACTCACCAACAAGCAGTCCCAACCACAGTGTGGGACCTCGAGAAGGATCCAGAGCTCTTCGAGATTCTGCCGGAACCAGAATCTCCCGGCCCTGTCGATCCGGCCCTGATGGCCAACCCGAGTTATCCTCTGGAAGATCGGATGTTGCAGGTGGAGAACAAGGTGATCAACTACATCGAGCAGAACGTCACCCACCAGGCCACGGCCACCGAGCAGTGAACCGATCTGAATGCCCCAGTGTGATCGCCTTGCAATCAGCCGGTGACTTAAGTGCAGAATGTACATACACCATCAATGACAATTTCACTCCCGAAAGCAACCGTGAGAGAGACCATTTCCTGAAACTTTTGAACAAATTCACCAATGAACTTTCTCAAGTGCAACAGCAGCACAAGCACCAAAGCATGAACTGTTCTCAGAGGCTGGATCTGCTGGAAGTGTTCTGTGGCCCTCAGAGCCAGTTGACGCATCAATCCCAGCAACTGGGATACAAAGCTGAGCGTTTCAGCCACTTGCAGGGAGATTTGCAGACCTGCTCAGGCCGAAATCAATTGGTTGGTGGGGTGCCGACCCAAGAATGTATGGTTTTCTCCAACATGCGGTCCTTGGAGCGGGTTTTCATGTCTCAATGGAAGTAGGTCCGTTGAAGCCTGGGATGAGCTGCAGCAAGCCAGACTCCGACATGTGGAACAAGTTGCCTTAGGAGTTGTTGTGCTAAGGTTTCAAAGACAGAATTCCTGCCACATAATTGGGAACAACCCAGGGGATCTATCATGCTGAAATTACCATACCTTCAGGAAGTAAGATTCTATATGTTGGCAGTAGATATTGATCTTTGTGTCGCAGGAAATCTCAAGGATCCCAGCGACGGTTTGCACATCAAGAAAGCCCTCACTATCATGTCCACTTCACGAAACATGATCAACGCCTTGTCAGGACTCAAATGCCATGGAAACCATCAACACCAGGTGATTGAAGGTCAAGTGAAGTTCCAAGGTCAATATATCAACAGATCTGCTTTCACCGAGAATTATCCCAGAAAATTTGCCCGAAAGATTGCCACCATCCTGGGAAGGGTTCATAAGCCTTTGGAACAGCCCTACAACAATGAAGTTTGGCCAGTGCTTGCAGCCGCAGAGCACAAAGATGCTTCACCACCGAAAAAGCCCAGGTTGACGCGATACGCTTCAGCCAAGCTCAGCCGCACACTGGAAATTTCCAAGTTGCCCTGGGGTAAGCGTCAGAAATGCAGTGACAAGACCACGCCCGTGGATCATGCAGCCATGTGAAAGACCATTTTTGACAAAATCCAGTCCAGTCCCTTATACCTCGAGTTGGGAAAAGATGCATCGAAGACCCCGAAATTCTCAATTTGGTACATCAATTGATTCCTGATAAAACTGTGGTTACCATGGTAACCTGGTAGCATGCCGTGGAGCCAGTCGAACCATGGCACCACCTGAACACCTTTTGAGGGGGATGGCACCTTTTCGCCGGAGTGTTTTCACAGAAAGGGGATCTGGGGAACTACGTGCAGAGGAAAGCTGGGAACCATGGGAGGAATTGGCCAAGAGAAACCTGATTCGACCATCTCATGCCACTAGGATCAATTTAACCTTGTTTGCCAATGAGACTATCCAACCAGGGCAGTCATCCAGTAGCGCTGACGCACCAAGCATGCCAAGTTCCCTTCCATCCGGCACACACTCCAGTGTACCGGAGAATTCGAGAACGTCCGGTGGATCTGAGATGAAAAATGAAACTGATTCTCAGCAGAGATCCCAAGACCTGACCACACCAGAGACGTCTCAGGGACTCACCAGTTCCCAAGTTTCCGACGTGCACAGTGCGAAGCAGTCAGCTCGATTTCAAGCCTTACCTAGAGATGAACAGGTAGCACTGTTGAGGGCTCACAAGAATTTGGGTCATCCGAGTGGAGAACGTTTGAGCACACTTTTGAGAGCACAGAGTTATCGAGCTGAAATCGCACAAGCCGCACTGGATCTCAAGTGTTCGACATGCCAAGAGAGTCAGCAGCCTAAACTGGCAAGACCGGGAAGCATCCGTGATGAACTGGACTTTAACGATCGAATATGCATGGATGAGTTTGACTGGACAAATAAAGAGGGTACAAAATTCCGGGTCTATCACATTGTTGATTGGGCCACCAACTTCCAATGTGCCAGGATAGTGCCTGACAAATCTACCACCGCCATAGTGCAGCTCATGATAGAGATGTGGTTTTCCTGGGCAGGCTCACCTAGCGAAATGTTGGTTGATGCAGGAACGGAATTCAACTCAGAGGAATTTGCCGAATTTGCCCAGGCAAACAACATCAAATTGACTACCATCAGTCCAGAGGCTCAGTATCAGAATGGCAAGGCAGAACGCCATGGGTCTGTTCTCAAGACCATGTTAACGAAGTTCGAAAGTGACCATCCCATCACTCCATATCAGGATCTTTCCCAAGCTCTGTACTGGTGCATTCGTGCCAAGAACGCTAGTAGCTTAAAAAAAGGGTTTTGCTCCTGAAGTTTTGGTACTTGGGAAACCAACAAGAATACCAGGATCAGTTTGCAGTGATGAGATGTTGCCGGCACATTTCCTTGCCGATTCCGAGACACCCCAAGGTGTCTCATTCCGGCGTCAGCTTGCATATAGGGAAAGTGCTAGGCTAGCCTTCTTTCAAGCCGACAACGATGCCAGTCTGAGACGAGCCATGCTTCGCCGAGCCAGGCCAGGGGGTCAGCAGTACGAGCCTGGAAAATGGGTCATGGCATGGAAGCAGAGTAAGGGCACGTTGCCCGGTCATTGGATGGGTCCCATGAAAGTTGTTGTGCATGAGAACAGTCAAACAATATGGACCACCATGGCATGTAAACTGTACAGATGCGCCCCAGCACATATGCGACCGGTGTCAGCCAATGAAGCCCGTACCATTCCCATTGTAGCTCAAGAAACATCCATATCAATTATTTCCCAGCAACTTGATAACATCCAATCTCAAGGAATCACACGATCAATCAACATGCCAGTGGAAATCCCCATAGAACCAATTCCTAATGAAGACACGGCACCGGCCCCCGGGGGTTCTGAGTCAGAGGGCCAACCAGATGTAGAACACAATAACACTGACCCAGAAGGTATCCACCAAAACACTCCCGAAAGTAATCTTCCTACACAAGATCAAAGCACTGATCCAGCCATTACCACACCAATACCTGACGAGGGTGATGATGATGACCTCATGTGCGACACTCTGCTGTGCCAAGACGTTGACAAAGATCCCTTTGATGCTGAAGCACCTCTAGCATGGAAATGCGAGATCCCTGTCTTTGAAAGGACATCGAAGCCTGGAAGAGAGAAACCACTCCTTCCGAGATGGCCTTCTTAGCATCCGCCTCCAAACGACAGAGATCAGAGGTCAAGCTCTCTGAACTTTCAGCTTCTGAGAAAATTGAGTTTCAAAAGGCCAAGATGACGGAAGTCCACAATTGGATCAAAACAGGAACAGTATCCAAAATTTTGCGGAACCAGGTGCCACCTAATCAGATTCTCAGATGCCGGTGGATTCTGACATGGAAACCAGCTGATACTAGTCCTGATGAAAGTAATCAACAAAGGAAAGCCACCAAGGCTAAAGCCAGATTAGTAATTCTGGGGTACCTGGATCCTAAACTTGAAGATTTGCCTCGAGACTCTCCCGCACTTGGAAGAAATTCAAAGATGTTGTTGTTGCAATTGATTGCCTCCAAGGGATGGCAATTACGTTCCTTCGACATTAAAGCAGCGTTTCTCCAAGGAAAACCACAGGCAGACCGGACGTTGGCAATTGAGCCCGTGAGCGAGCTGATCGAGGCCCTCCAACTTGCCACCAAATGAAGTCTGTAAACTTGAGAAAGGGGCATATGGTTTCATCGACGTCCCATATCAATGGTACCAAGCCATCTCCGAAGAACTTCAAAGATTAGGTTTTTCCCAAAGCCCTTTTGATCCCTGCCAATTTATCCTACGACACCCCCAAGCAGGTCACTTAGAGGGTGCACTGGGGCTGCATGTTGACGATGGCATTTGCGGGGGAAGTGACTATTTTGTGGAAAAGCTCACTCAACTTGAAAAGAAATATCCATTCGATAGCAAGAAAATCAAACAATTCACATTCACCAGAATTGAGATGGACCAACTTCCAAATGGAACTATCACCATGAAACAATCCATTGATCCAATCAAGATACCAATGGAACGCAGACAACAGCCTGATTCCAAAATCACTGAAGAAGAACGTCAAACTCTCCAGGGTTTGATCGGAAGCTTACAGTATGTAGCTGTACATACACGACCGGATCTCTCAAGTCGACTCAGCACGTTACAATCTTCAATAAACAGTGCAACCATCAATACCCTTATATCCGCCAATCAAGCACTCCATGAAGCCAAAAAGTACCATGACACCACCATCCAAATTCAACCCATTCCCATTGAAGACTTTAGATTTCTAGCGTTTTCAGATGCGTCCTTTGCCTCCAAAGCCAATCCAAGTTCCCATACTGGTAGCATAATTATGGGTACCCATAGATCCATTAGAGATAATGTATCTTGTCCTGTATCACCGCTGTCTTGGGGTTGTAAGAAGATTCAAAGGGTAGTGACCAGCACGCTGGCTGCAGAGACTGTGTCTCTGAATGCTGTCCCATCTGTCATGGATGCGCTTATGCTGGGCCTGGATGCTTGACCCGCAGGTCAACTGGAAGCGACCAAATTCAACCCTCCAGAAGTTGCCTGAGACATATGCAACGGCAACCCTGAAGGCCCAACAGATGCCCGAAAGCATTGCTGCCACTGATTGCGAAAGCCTTTTTGATCTCGTAACCAGAACCGCAACACCCAGTTGTTCTGAATTCCGAACCCAAGTCAATGCTCGAGCTATGAAGGATCTCCTAACCGAAGGGGTGTCATTAAGATGGGTACACAGTGGAGCTCAAATAGCCGACTGTTTAACCAAAATAATGGAAACCACCTTTTTGAGAGAAACCTTAAGATTGGGTCGGTACCGACTGAATGATGGACTTGAGGTGTTGAAAAATCGAGCTTCATCCAGAAACCGTCTTCGATGGCTGCGAAGCTCATGCCAGCCGAGCAAGGCGAAAATGGATGCAACGATGAATGTTTTCTTAACATTGGTTTTTTAGGAGTGTAAATCCATATCGTTGCATCCTTCCAAGCTTGCCTCTGTTTAGCCTTCCTGTCCTGCAGGTCCATGATCCACCAGTAAATGCCACTTAGCACATCGGCTCAGGATAGCCCGAGGCGGGCGGGTAGGGAAACTGTTGCTTGCAGCCATAGGTGGAACATGGCCGTTCATACAATAGAGCCAGGGGCTCTTTTAGCACTTGTGGCCAGCCGGACTTTGCAGTTCGAAGCCGCCTTGGAACCTGGGACGTTTTGCCCTTTGTGGTCGGGGAAAAGACCGCTTGCAGTTTGACTGGAAAGCCGTTGCCAGTGTTGATTTGGGATTTGTCCAATCACAATATTTGTGTATATTTGTATATATGTATATATTTGTATATATTTATGTAGCGCCCTGGTAATGGTTATTAATACGAAAAAATGGTGATTGCAAATCCCATTTTAACTTTGTGGCTTGTTCCAGTTAGTGAATGGGTTAGCTCATCCCAGTTAGGGCAGTAGGGGAAGTAGGGTTGCTCCAGTAAAAGAGCTGAGGTGAACTAACCCACTTGCGATTCCTGGGGTGAACCACCAAGGAGAAAACACACATGTCACTATAACCACTATCTCTCTCTATAGGGATTATAAACCCCTTGATTCTGGCTGAATTATAATTCACTAGCCTGAATTAAGGACACGGCTTTCCTCAGCCCTCCCCCAAGCTGTGCGAAGCCTAAGCGGGTGCTTGTTCTTGAAACAATAGAGACAAACACTGTTTGAGGTAAAAACTGTCTAAGGACAACCTCATACGTGCCTGAATTAAGGCTATTCTCTCTAACCATCATTTATAGTGAGGTCGCAGTTAATCTATCAACATATGGGTGGTTTATGATTGTTTTACTAACACTCATCCATATATCACCGATGGATTACGTCACAATTGATCCACATTTGTACGTTCTAGTATATTCATATACATTCTAGTGATAGAATGTTATAGAACGTGTTAGAACCATCTAGAACCCTAAAAAATAAATAGACGTCTATAGAGATGATAAATCCCATCATTTATAATTACTGGTTGATGGTTGACCTACCCTTCTGAAAAATCTGACAGTCAGTTGGGATGATTATTCCCAATATATGGAAAAATAAAACATGTTCCAAACCACCAACCATAATGTGCGTGTTTTCTCCATCCCATCCCGTAGCCGCCTCCAATTTTCGGCCACAAACCAGCGGCGCTGAGCCAACTTCATCAAGTCTTTGGCTTCGCGGCTGCTGGCTGCAATGGGTTTCTCCGACCTCGGAGCTTTAGAATGCGGCCACCAGTCGTTGCACATGGATAACCCCAGAATAAAAATGGGAAAGTAACATGTCGTGATTTTTTTTGATATTTTTGGGACAGGATTTTACTTTCCCAACTTTTCGGTGGTTAATATAACTTGAAAATGATAAACAGGGCCAAACTATCTATCTCACACACACACACTGTCTCTCTATGTTCGCATCGGATTGTGCTTTTCTATCTGTTCTGGTGGTTGCATAAAATCATAGACCGATGATAGTATGGTAATGGGCGGCATGGCCAAGTATTCACAAATACTAGTAGCTAGAATGACTGACCAGGATTTTGAGCCCGGTAGCACTTTAACCTCGGACCATGCAAATGGATAGACATGACATGCGTTTTCAGGTCAAAACAAAATGGGTGAACACTGTGGGGAGAACTGGGGTCCTGCAAGCTATCCATGCAGGTACAACATATTAGAAGCTGAAATATGTGGTCTCGCCTTGTCATTTGTGGGAACCTCGCATTGGGTACCCAAAATGCCACTTATATGCCGGCCTCTAGTTCAATCATGTTCAATCAATGCGGCCATAATAGGGCCGCATATGGCATACCACAAATCTGATCAACCTGGCAGTCATTTGCAACATACCCTCTGGTTATTTAAGATAGCCATGGAAAATCACCATTTCTGATAGGTAAACCATCTTTCTATATGGGCCATCTATACCATGGCTATGTTAGTCATTACCAGAGGATATATTCACTTCACATTCGAATCCATTGAGCCATGCCTTGAGCCGTGCCCATTCCAATTGGATGGCCATCTTGGGAGCCCATCTCGCCCAGCTGCACGATGGCCAAACCGTGCTCCAGAGCTTCTCGGATGAAGCGACTTTGCTGAGGGAAAGGCAGCACCAAATCCAACATCTCCAAAGCAACGCCAGACCTCGTAGATCATCCGTTGCCCCCCGACATGTATTTATATCTTTATATATATAGGGATCAATATTAATATATATATATCATTATATATATATATATATCCATATATATGCAGTACTAGATATCGATATTCAATATCCAATGTCAAATGATGAATATTGAAGGGGCATTCAATGGATATTGAATGGATATGTCAGTTAATGGATATGTAATGTCAATGGATTGGTTAACATAAGGGAAAGATCTTTCCCGGAAAGCATGGTTTCTGCTCACACATATATTTACATATATTTACCGTATGGATCGTTCCGCGGTGATCCGGACGTATGGAACGAGGAGTTGTCAGCAAACGTTTTGATCCGGACCTTGTAATAAGGGCTTGCATGGATATGAATATAAATTTTATAAATATAATATTATTTAGATCTAAATATAGAAATAAATACATACATATATAATAGAAATACATATGCACATATCTATATAATGAGTTCATGAGGCCCGTGGGGCACGAAGAGCAAGCAAGGACCTGCTTTCGTTTTCAATGATCACTATCTGAGTCAGAGGAAGAGCTCGAAGAAGAGCTCGTTGAATACACTTGAATATCAATAAATTGTGATGGGGGATGGGTCCTACATGGCATGATTCGGGTATGGAACTGGTATGGATCGGGGTATGGAACGAAATGGACCTGAATTTCTAAATTTTATGGCTGATTGTTTTGGTGGTAGATTCAAAATCTAATTCAATCCTTTTGTTGGACCGGAAACCAATCGTGAATAACCCTTGGCTGATTTGGTGGATATTGTGTTCATAACCCCTCACAACCCCAAGTATACTTTAAACTATAGATTGGGAGCCATCATACCAACACAAACATAAATTCCTTTATGCTAGCAATAGCGAGCACGCGGGTTCGGGTACAGGCAGAGGGTTATATAGATACTCTATGTACATATCCCCTGGTTTCAAAATTCTGCCTCGTTAATTCGGGGGCGACGTCGTGACGTCGAATTAAATCGTACAGATCAAATAGCCCTCACTCAAAACGCAATGCGTGAAACAGAAACTGAAGAATCCCATAGGTACAAGTCAGAAACAAAACCAATACATGCCCAGGATTTGCAATTACTGAGGTATGGATCATGGGTATGGATCATAGGTATGGATCATGTCCTCTAAAGGGGTATGGATCATGGGGTATGGATCGCATGTGGTCCCGGGATATGGATCGGAACGAGCTGCAGCCATAAGGGAAAAATCTTCCCCGGAAACCATGACTTCTGTTCATACATACGTATATTTACCGTAAAATCTATTCCCATTATCCGACTGTAAGATCATAGTCTAATCATTGTTAATCCTGTGTTCTTTCCCTTCATCAAAATCAGCCGCCGAGCTTCAAATTTGCAGACAGTAGTCGCCTCCAACCCTCCTGGTCATGTGATCGAAGAATTTGAGATGACTCCAGAGATGGTCGTGTGCAGTACGGCAAAAAACACCACACAGGGGGGGGGGTCACTAGCCTTGACAGCTTTGTGCTTCGTGTTTTCACCGCTTTGGGCGTTAAAAGTCAGCGCGGCTTGCACCAAATAATTAAGGTGACACGGTGAACACGGTTGATTTGAAGATTTCGAGGAAAAAAAAGCGGTATCTTTTTCAATGCAATGGATCGGACACAATACATACTAATGGGAGTGGTGATCCAGCTTTTATATCCTTTTATAAGGTATATTATCCACCCTTCAAAGGTACCTTCTGGATTTCTTCCCCAGCTGTTACAGCTCTTAACAACTCCTCAAAATGTCGCAGTGTTTCACGTTAATCAACGAACATTGGTTGATGACTTGCAAGTTACACAGTTACACCCCTCAAAACGAACACCCACCAATCCAAACAAGCTATGCATTCCCAGCTTTTCGGACTGTGTCCTCACCGTATAGGATCTGCAAGTGGCGATCCTCGACTTGAAGTGCCTCTGCAGCTTGTCGCGAACGACTCCAAATTGCCACCAGCTCGAAGCAATCGCTGGCACTTTGCAGCGATGGCAGGTGGGCCTGCGGGACAAACACTGTTGGCATCAAGACATCCTGAAAGGTGATTCTACATGATCCAGAAATATGCAGGAAAACTTAACAAGTTTAAGAGGGATGGCTTTCAGTTGTGCGAGCTATGTCAGCTATGTATTACATCGTAATCCATCATTCATGGATATTCATAGCATGAGCTGCAAGAATTGCAGTTTCATAGGTCCAAAGCTGGGTTTTCAAATATTTCCTATCAGCAACGGCCACCACGCCACATCAGGGTTTTGTCACTGCCTTGCGTGCAAAGGTGCCTGCCCCCACCAGTGCCACTGCAATGCGCCGGGAGCATGGCACATTGAGAGTCTGGTGAATGCGCCTTGGGTGCCGAAACCCGGTAGTCTTAGCGCCGAAAATCACATGTCATCTTCTTGTCACATGATATTAACACATATTAGATTTACACATATGAATACACTGTCATATATTTACTCACAAACATTTGCATGTGTATATATTGGAACATTTACGAACAGTATGTAATCTGAAATGTATATATATATATACACTAGTGAAAAAATGCAGACCATTATACCAGAAAAAAACTGTGTTATAACATGCTAATATGCCTTCAAAAATATGACACCTTCTGATTCATGAGATATTTGCCATGCCTTGCCAATAGGTGTCAGGTGACTCTGAGAAGCATTCCAGGTCCGTCGGCCCGCAGTTCACTGAGGACGTTGAAGCCAACACCAGCACCGCAGCTGCAGCATGCATCAGCCATGTGCGCCAACGTTTCATGGCTCATCGCCGGATAGTTCGACATGCTCACCGGCTTGTTTATGCCAATGGGCATATCTCCAATAACAAGGAAGCAACCATCAGGGATAGAAAAAAAAACATGTCGTCTTTGCGTCATGGTTGCGGTGTCTGGCTATGCTGGGCACAAAGAATCCCAAAAGATCCCAAAAGTGCCTGAGGGCATCCCATGATGCTAACATATTCCTGCAGGGGTCGTCTTGGCCCGACAAACTGCTTTCCGCGCTATCAAGAACCATCTTTTTTAAGATGGCTCACGCGAAACACTCACCCTTGAACATCCTCAAAATATCTATTTTTGTTTTTGCTCATCAACCTCCCAGAGCATATCGGAAAATTTGCAAACATGCTTCACCAATCAATCAGAATGTTTATTCCCAGGGGAATTTATCACCACATCACAAAAAGTCGGCTGGCGACCGAATCAAAGGCCAGCCTCAAGCCGCGAAATCTCAGTCCATCAAATCTTAACAAGTTAAGGCACTTGAAGGTGAAATCCTGAAATAGGGATATGTTGTATGTCGGGTGATTCCTCTAAATATAACATAACAACCCTAGCATACAGATCATACAGCGTATACTATGTATATATGTATATATATATGTGTGTGTGTATCACAGTTGGAACATGTTGGAACTCTATCAATATCTCTCTCCGCGTCGCCCTATCATCCTATATGTCTTACTATCATTTACTATCAATCATTGTGGTAAGACACCATTAATTATTCCTACGGTGGTCTATGAATCAGAAATTATGCATAAAACCATCCACAAGGGGCAGCCCTGGCGCCTCTCTTCGCCTTCAGACTTGGCACGGCCGGACTCCAACTTGGCCTGAGAAGGGGCAAGCGCTATCGATGAATTCACCGTGAAAAAAACACTGGCTTTTGCCATCAGTTCGGAGGAGTCCTATGGATGAAGGACGTTTTCAAAATCGAGAAGGTGAGGGGAATGAAACGCATGTTTTAAGGACAATGGGGGGATGAGGGCTAATTATTATATTATATATATATAACACACCACAAGACTTTGCAGCAAATCTTTTGTGTTGGAATATGTTGGAATGTTCAGCTGCCCATTTGGTGGGGTGATTGGTCTTTGCCCCACTATCAAATGGACTGCCCGCTGCCATCAACGTCGGCACCTTTTCCAACTCTTTCTTCAGCACGGCGATTCCCTGACAGGGCTTCTGCCGTGGCTCAAAATGGATCAAACTTGGGCAACAAGTCGAGACCAACGGGGACTATCTGTGGGTTTCTTCATTAAGGTTTATATTTATGTCCTGTAGAAAGATCAGAATTTGTGACCACCAAACGTGATGATCGAGAATCAAAAAGGCAACCATAGAGACCCCTGATGCGCCAGGCAACTGGAGATTCGACAGAAGATCTTGTCTGGGGTTCTTGAATCCTTGTGAACGACCCATAAAAAGGCTGTGAATGTTCAGAAAATTTCTTCCACACCCTGAAATTGGATGCAACACATAAATAAATAAATACATAAATAAATACCAAAAAATACCATATGGCTATGGATCAATACCTATAAATATCATGTGAATCCCTTTATGGATCGATGGCCCCCCAATCAGCACTGGCAGCCGGCGCCGGCCTGGCCCTGCTTCACCATGTGCGCCTCAGACTCTTGAAGAATCACCTGGGGCGGCTCAGTCCGGAAAAGATTTCACGCGATTAAAACAATGCCATAAACCATGCGCCAAATCACCATCAATAGGTGGTAATCAACCATTCCCTAAATTGGTGGTTTACTATTGTTTTACCCATATTATTGAATTCTATTGATACTGCTTGATTTTGTTGGAGCATGTTGGAGCTATATATTGGTGAAGAATTCCCTTGAACATATCAACCCCCCCCTTCTCCTTTTGGACCCCAAAATCAACAAACCAAAATATTCCACCAACATTTATACTTAGGACATTTTTATTTAAAAAAATGGAAAAGGAATGCACACGGATGGACCATGACTATATTTCCCAACAAGACCCTCCAATCACATCTCTCCATCGTCTCGATTTTCATGGAAACTTATGGAATCATCACCTACCACATCATACAGTCATCATACAGTCACCAGGGGCTCCAAGAGAATGCCAAGCTTTCATTATTTTCTACAGCTTTTGGTGGCTTCTGGAACGTCAGCGGGACAGCCTGCAGCTCGCTGATGCGACCCTTCAGGAAGTTCGCTTCGGTGTTGAGCCCTGTGACCTGCAACTGACATCAACTGACCCAGCTTTGACCGTGACACGGCCGGGCACCACGGAGCAAGTGCGTTCCGAGGATGTTTAAAAGATGTTAAAAGTGTCAGGGTATGTCAAGGTGAACCATTGAAAATCATTGAAATATGGACTGAAATGGCTTAAAAAAAATAGGGGGCCTTTGGCATTCCAACGGTTGAGAAACACCCCACCTCTCAAGTGGACTTTCTCTGAATCCTATGTGGCCGCTTGACCAATGCCCTCACTTCAGGGTGAGACATCACCTTTTGAATTGACCCTCCACTTAATTTAACATCGCACAAATGGTGCACTTATGGATGACTTTCCTATATTGAGCTACTAACCATGGAGATTTTCCAGTTCACAAACTGTCAAATCACCAGGGGTCCCATTGAAATCCATTCCACCAGCCTTGCCCTCCAGCGTGCCAATGTGCCGCACGTGCTGCAGCAACAGGCCCTTGGTACCTGACAGCAGCAAGCCCAAGAGGATGGGTAGGTAATTCCCCCGAATATTAAACACCCCATTAATGGTCCCAATTATGTGGACATTCCCTACTACCCTCTGGTAGACTAACATAACTATGGGAAATCACCATTTTTAATGGGAAAATCCACTATAAATCACCATTTTCAATAGCTATGTTAAATTACCAGAGGGTAAACCATTATTTCTAAGGGGGTGTTCAGTATTAGGGGGAAGGGATTACTGTTGACCTTGGGCACTTGGATAAAACATGGAGGACGGCCGATGCATGACCGATGGCTAAAATATGGCTGAAATATGAAAGTAGGTACTGACTTACTGGTGCTAAACGTAGGACACATCATCTCATAATGATAATGTTTTCCAAGGTGATATTGATCATGATTATGATCATTGATTTTCAATGTTCTAGCAGAAAACAAACAACATCAAACAACATATCAATATCACACTGGAAAACACACCTACTTTTTCTCCATGGAAACGGGGGCTGCTCTCACTGTTCTCACAGAACCAAGCTAGGTTTTTCTCGAGTTCACACCGCGAAGATCCGCAAGGCATGAAACCATATGAAAACATACAGAAACCAGAAACCATACAGAGAACGAAGATGTGGAAAAACATCCTCTAGTCTATGCATCCTAGCTGGATACCATAGATATTTTTTCTTGTCGCACCTTCCTTGCTTTCAGAGTGCTTCTTTCGTTCTTCTTCCAACTCTTGCCGGGCACCTCAGGCCGATTCTCGGATTCTCAGGTCAGTTTTCCCTGGTGGCTAAAAGAATGAATCAAGTGGAGGAACCGAGTCCTAATGCAAAGAAAATAAAGTCCTATATAATATATAATCTATATATTTATCCTATATATATTATATCTATGTTCAAAAACTATATAGGCTCTCACGACTCTATTTCTGGGCCTGTCTGCAGCCATCGTGACCCATCCCAGCTAATAAGCGTCACTGTCTGTGCTGGACCATGATGTGCAGCTTTTAAATGCGTTTAGCACATTTCGGAGACATGCCCCTTTCAGAAGTCCTGGGATAAAACGGAAGGATCTGAATGTTCTTTTGATCCTTTAACCAATCGGATGTCACCATGTCATCCTTAGCCACCAATTGGATGATCTAAATCGGTGACGCAGGGAAGATCCATGCGAAGCAATTGGGGGATGTGAGAATTTACAGGAGTTGCAAGGGGTTAAACATGTTGATTAAGACTCACCCAAACCAACTAATGATACCAATGTCCTCCCAAATGGAAGAAATAAGGCTATAAGTTTGAAGGGGATCAACATGACCGGGTATAGGGAGCTATATATAATATGTATATGTGTGTGTGTAAAACAGATCTCTTCCCCCTAACGCCTGCCCCCAAACGAGACCTTTGTCCAATGTATTCGATCTGCTCGCTAGGGGCCGTTGGCCATTCCTTGGCCTTTGCGGGATATTTACTATTAGCGTGATAGGCCCATCAAACATAGAATTTGTAACAACGAATAAGGGATATGGAGCAAAGAATGGGTAGTCCCGCGTTTGAAAAAAAACACATTGCTAAGTAAAATATCTTAAACTTATAGAGAAATTATATAACTGAACCATACAGTTCGTAAGCAGCAAAGTTAAGCTAACTCTACTTATTGTGCTTGTGAGGGGGTGGGTAAATGCTAAACGTTCCTAGCTATGTTGAAACTTCTATAGTGACATGTTGCTGGGAGACAATCATCCAGTTTCCAATCAGTCTGAAGTTAGCTTACCAACCCCCCCAACGTAGACCCTGTCAAATTCTTAACTGGCTTGGAAGATTAGTTTCCACCGAACATGGGCTACGTTCAGGCTCCAACTTAATTTACCCTCCGGTTATCAACTCTTGCTGGCTGGAAAATCCCCGAACTTGATGGAGGTTTATAGTATACCATCCGGTTATTTAACAGTTCGCCATGGAAAATCACCATTTTTAAGTTCGGTAAACCATCTATTTCGATTAGGGCCATCTATACCATGGCTCTGTTTAAATAACCAGATGGTAAATATCTTGGGAAAATCATGGTCAATGGGAGCACAACATCAAGGCTCCCATCCCATCATACCATGGCGCTGCACAACATCTGCTGATGCTCCGTGTGGCAGTTGTCATGTGCTGCGGTCAACTGCTGACGCTCATGGTGAAGCTCTGTGTGGAGCTCCTGGTGAAACCGAAGATGGGTGTTGAAAGATGTTGAAAGTAAGCCCATGATGATTTCAGCAACCAATTCTAAAATGATATGAATGTTTTGAATAAGGGTAGAATATCATATTTAATAGAAGCCTTGCTGCATCTGCTTGGGGGTTGCTATAGTGTGACAAGTTTGGTTTCGCCATGTTTGAAAAACCGTGCTGCGTATACATATGTCTCTACTTTCACCAATTGGGCGTCAATAACCGTCAAGCGATTCTTAACGGAAATCAAGGCCCTGGTTTGTTGTTCTTTCTGCTCCATCAGGGTTTTCCTTTTCTTTTTGTGGATTTAAGTCAAGGGAAAAATGATGGGAAACTCGTCTCGTACTTTTTTGCGCATCGGGCGGCTTTGAAGGACAAGATCAGTCACTACCGTTTCAAGCAACATAACATGTAGACTTAACCAGCAAACACGGGGAATTCACCAACAACTATGACTTTTAAGTGGTTTCGTTTGAAGGGCAAGTGACACAAATATACACAAGTTTCATTTGTTTGCTGTTTGTCATATTGGGCGGTTCTCAAAAACATTTTTCATGAGCATTGCGTTCAACCAAGTCTTGGATCTGCTATGTCTCATGAGGTGACATAACATGACATACACTCCCTGTGGCCAAACAAATATAAACTACCCTATCACTGAGTCAGCAAACATGTGATCAGGTGACTATAATCTATTTGTATCTTTTTCATAATGTATATACGCGTATATATATATATATATATATATATATATTATGCACATGTGCCATCTTCTTCCGCAGTCATCTATGCGATTCTGATTCCATTCCTATTCGTTGGTCCTTGGGAGCTGACCTACGAGCACAGGTCAAAACCTCTCCTGCAGCAGGGTGTGGTGCTTCTCGTGGTGGCCATCACGTTCCAACTGCAGCCTCGGCGCACCCCAGTCAGGTGCCAGAAATCAAGGCCTGGGGTTAGCCACCATCAACCCTTAGGGGCTTGGGTGCATCCCAAGGTTCACTTGGGCATTTGCAAAGATAAACTGTGAAATTTCATAAAGCCCCAAATTAACCTGGTAGGCACAGACCGCACCATCTATCCAACTTTCACAGGGCCCAGGGGCTTAAAAAGCCAGTGATTGCCTGGCCATGTTTTGATAAGAAAAACGATGTTCCTGGCCACTCGGATTCAGACATCGAACATCGGGGTTTAGATCCAAGTAGAACTCTTCCGACTCTTCAATCCCCAGCTCTTAAGCAGTCATGGCGATATTTCATGCTTTATGTTTTGTATGATGTTTGACTTGTAATGTAGCAGTTGGATCGGTGTTAAACACATGTGTAAACATATATATAATTATATATATATACGCATGCAGTATAAGAACAACTATATATAAATATCTGCATGGATAAATTGATGGATGATTAAACCATATTAAAGCACATTGATTCTTGGTATATATCACGTCACGCTATTATAGTATATTACATTTACATGTATATATATAAATATGTACATACACATCCTTATTAGACCTATTCCCAACCCATTCGCAGCCAGAAACAGAACAATGGTGACCCAATACAAAACACAGAAACTCATGTAAGATAGTACTATCATGTAATTACTATCCCCTCAAAAAATAAAAACTCGTAATTTTCCCTAGCTATTCCCCATGAGAAATCCCAATTCTGGATGATAAAAAACATGACCATTCCAGGAAATACCATGGAATTTCCACCCAAAATCCATCAAAATCCCAGCAGTTCACTCTCCGTGTTTTTTTAGTCAGGGCTCATTTGCCGTTCTTCCTCCAGGAGCTCTTTCTGTCGTTGGACTTCCCCCTGCGCCTCTCGGAGCTCCTGTGGGGAATGCTGGCTTGCCATGGCTTGCCACTTTGATGTTGCCTGATAAGCAAAGCAACATCGCAAACGAGAAGAACACATTAACACATGGAACATCTTCATACATTTCACCTGTTTCCAGATGTTCCTCTTCCAAATAGTGTTTTGGTTCATGTGAGCCATAGCAATGCCTGCAGTAAGTCCCAAATTGGACCTATCGGTTGACCTATTGGGTCCGCAGCTCCTCCTGTAGCTGGAGTGTCTGTAGAGATGCGGCCTGGCATCAAACTGTGTCCAAGTAGAAATGTCGTCCCATTCTCCAGGTCAAAGTACAAAACATCAACAGTGAACAAAACACTGTTGAGTTGGTAAAGTGTCCGATTTCCATTGGAATGAGGCATTTTTTACGCCAAGGATTTGGGATACCCAACTTTCAGACAAAAACCATCTCCAGCGCCTCCGCCGCCGCTTCGTTGGATCGCTGACTTGCCAAATGCTCTGCAGAGGTCTGCGTGGGCTGAGAACTCCCCTGGGTGTTTAATTGTCAATTTCTTGGTGGTTCCAGCATTGTACATTGTACATGTTTTTACGTATATATATATATAAATGTAGTAAGTGGGTTACAACATCTTATAACTCCAGCTACAACTGGACTACCCCTCCGGAATTCCTGTTTATAAATATACAATTGAGTAAAACTATAATTAACTGGGTTATAACATGTGAAAACCCACTAACTGGGGTGAATTTGCAAGCAATCAATTGATGTTCAATTTGCAAGGCACATCTGCAGGAAAACCAAGGTGCTTGAACACCCGAATGTCTTGGGGTTGCAGATTTCTCCGTTCATTCGGTTCATTCGGAGATATGATTCGGCTCGACGTTCGATCGGATTCTATCGTCATAGGCTGCTAGAAAAGGTGTCCGGAGGTGCTTTGACATACTAAAAATAGAGGTGTTTACCCTCTGGTAATTTAACATAGCTATTGAAAATGGCCATTTATAGTGGATTTTCCCAGTAAAAATAGTGATTTTCCATAGTTATGTTAAATTACCAGAGGGTATCTTTGATATTCGGCCATTTTTTGTTGGCCATGACCAAGGAGTTGGGCATAGTTGGGCATCAAGATGCCCATGCTTTGTGGTTTCAACCATGTTCGCTTTTTGATGATGGATGTAATATATATGGGGGTTTCCACAAATGGGGATACCCAAAATGGATGGATTATAAAGGAAAATCGTACTAAAATGAATTTGGGGGTACCCCTATTTTAGGACCCCCCCCATATAGTATGTTTCACCGACCCAAAATCAAGGCATCGGAACAAACAAACCTTCCCGCATTGAGTCAATTGACTTGATATCCTTATCCTCTATAGTAAGTCTTGAACCTCATCCACCTGATGCTTAAGACCCATAAGGAAACCATGGATTAGTACGGGATTTCGGGGCTGTTGGTGAAGGCGAAGGTGGCACTCAGGGCTAGTCTCTACAATGAAACACCAAGGTTAGAAGCCATAGATGATCCAGATGATCCATATTTTGTGGATGTTGACGTTTTGATTCCATCCTCATTCCCCAAGTTTTCTTCTTTTGAACAATTTTCATCCCAGTGTTTCATGATCACAATTTTGGATGGTCAAGCTCACCTCTTTTGCCATTACCCATGAAATTTCCGCATCAGATGGACAAATCCTGTTTTTGATGGTCTCCATGTCTACTTCTCTCGGAGCGTGATTGTAGTACCACCCAAAAAAATATAAGAGTAAATTTGATCTCTATATATATTTTAGTAGGCTTTTACCTTTCTTTTTGAGGCTACTACTGTAAGTCAGCATTTCATGACCATTACTATCGTAAACTATGGTTTATGGTTTAATTATAATATATTGTATTATATATATACCGATCTAATTATAGTCAATGCAATATGAATCATATGTGAATGAAATGATTAATAGTTTTTTTGGGGGGAAATTGTTTTGTTTGGGCATAACCATTTAGTGGGGAACATGGTGTTTACCCCCTGGATTTGCGCTTATCGCATTTTCAGACAAACCCACATCACATCCCATGATGAATTCTCCCTTTATAAAATCATATTAAATCATATGCCCTCTGAGAAATTTAACATAGCTATTGAACATGGCCCATTGAGTTCGTTGATTTACCCAATGTTTACCCAAAAAATCCGATATTCTCCCCATAGCAATCATCCATTTTCCCATGGTTTTTCGCATCATTTTCTCACCATGGCCGTCCATCCCTCTCCTTGGCCGCCAGCGCGCGTGTGGCTTCCAACTCCTGCTGCAAACTCAGCTCGCGCTCCTCGCCCGCTCTGAGCCCGGCCTTGAGCTCCGCCAAACGCAGGGTGGCCTCAAGGAACAGCCAATTTGAATATGGAGATTCTATGGCGATTATAGGATTTGTAGTGGATTATTTAGTGGATCTGAGTGGCTTAGGGGATCAAACATCTGTTTTTTATTTGGGGAAAATGATGGGATTCTTTATCATGGATTTTTGGTGGGTTTTGGTGGATTTTGGTGGCTTATCTGGCTGAGATATCTTGGTTCACTAACCTGAACATAGCTGAAATAAGGGTCAAAAGATGGTAAATGATTTGTGGTCATACATCCCATAATGGAAATCCTTATGATGGGTATTTCACTTCCTATTAATCGATTGATGACAATCCCCCCAATATGGGAAACGAACCCATCTTTTGACCGTGACAGATATGGGAATACAAGTAATATGGGACCACAACTGATTGGATTATATGCCCTGGCTTGGTTACTAATACTACATGGGGATTTAACAATCCAAAAAATAATCAAATGTGCAAAGTTGGAAACATGGGAGTTATGTGCTATATAAGTATCATCGGAAGGGCCGTGGAAAACAAGGAGCGTGCAAGTCAATCCACATGGGCCAGAAAACTATGAATCTGGACCAACCAAGGATAAACACAATCTAGAATCTAGACTATAAAATTCTGGACGTGTTTTTTCTCTCTATGTGCATTGAGGATTTCATGATTTTCACTTGCTGGCAATCCTAAACGATCTAAACTAAAACAACCAACAAAAAAACATGTTGTGGTCCATCAAAATTTATCTCCTTGAATGCCACAAACATGGCACAAGCATGGCATAAACATGTCCAGAAGGTCTGACCTCCTCCAACTCCACTGCCACGGACATCAGCTGCTTCTGGCCGTCTTCCAACTCTGAAGTCTTGCCCTAGCGGTTCGAACAAACAAAGCATCTGGAAAAAAAAATGCGGCTTTTAATTATGCTTTAAATTGGTTTATATAATATGACGTTGCATGGTTTGATAGCGGCTAGCGATGGATTCCATGTTCTCAATGGAATGGATTTATTTTTTTGAATGTGTTGGATTTACATCTAGCGGCTTTGACTTGCTAATGGAATTCGAAGATCGCATTTGGGGTTGGTTTGTTAAGTCCTCGATTGTACTGACCCCATAAACCGCTTCGGGACAACTGCAACCCAACGAGAACAACTTCTAACCACAAATTCCAATGTGTCGGAATCATGTGAGCATTGTAGCAGCTTGGGCAATTCATTAGGGCAATGCCCCGAAGTGATACTGCAGCGGGCCAGGAAGGCATGTAATCCGCTTAGAACAACCCATGGGGTGAGTCCACACATATGAATAACCTGGCGTTTGTAGATCATGCCCCAAGAAAAATCAGGAAAACACATGGGTTTGTCTGAACACATCTGATAAAATAGCCCTGATCCACTCTGGCCTGGAGCTCCATCGTCTTGGCCTCCTTGTCCTGGGGCCCCAAGGGCCCCAAGATGACGAGATCCAGGTTGAACCACGGGTTTTATGAAATGCCATATGCATACTTGTCCTTCCATCTTAGGATGGGATTCATATGGAGTCATATGGATTGAATGGGTAAAAGCTGAGACTTGGGAAACTGATGGAAGATGACTTTCGGCAACTCTTCTGGATGTAGTTTCGTTGAGTTTCCCCCATTAAAAGATCTTTAAAGTTTGCGAAGCACTACTGAGTCATCAGTCACCGTAGATCCAAAAAAAACAAAGTTAAGGGATCCATTCACCACAGTTTTTTTTCTCTAATTCAATAGCTTCATTATATTTTAGCATATTGCATGATATCCTATTCTCATTTTATGCAGGTTTGACCAGGCAGTGTTCAAAGCCCTCTGTCATCCCATTTTTGCTGGCTGGTTCATAGAGATTCTGCTGAATCCCATGGTCCTAATTTAATCCGCAATACAGCCTGTAGCATAACCCCTGTATAATCATTGTGCTCTTAAAATATTTACAGTAACATAGCTGTGGAACATGGCCATACATGGCCCATATGGCCTATTGATTGATGAATTATGATTCATGATCTACCTGTTAAACATGGTGATGTCCGCTGTGTCAAATGATCAAAGGGAATGTTCCCATCGAAAAACGTCGCGCCTTCCCAGCTGCTCGGTAGCGTTCCATGGCATCCTTAATGGAGGCCTGGCCGGGGAATCCCCAAATAGAGGCCTTGAATGGGAACATCATCTGTCTGTAAATGAGGGATTTTCCAGATTTTTCCAGCAAGCTAAGTTTAATCATGTTTGATTACCTACAGGGTACTTGATTTTTCGCGGTACTGGGCTAAATCAAAAGGTAAACACTGGTGAAATACACCACTTGTCACTTGTCCCAACAAAAGTGGCAATGATTTACATCGGAAAAACCTTAAACAATCTTAAACATGCTTGACCTTGACCATCTGAAACCAGCCAATTTATTTCTTCAAAGACGGATCATCCCTTTTAAGAGGATTTTCCATTATAAAATTTATAAACCATCCATTTGGGGGTACCCCCCATGACTATGGAGACCCTCATATGTTTCCTGCCGTAACGCCGCAACGCCTGGTTCCCACATGTTCCCACGGGGGCACCGGCATTTCAGGGCACCGGCCTTGGCCGCTTCCAACTCACTGCGCACGGCGCCTTCCAACTTGGCCGCCTCCTCAGTGCGGGCCACGGCCAAGCGCTGCGCTTCAGCAGATTGTTCCACCTGGGACGATGAACGATGAACGATTTCTAAGGTGATATGACCGGTTTGGGGTTGACCTACCCCTCTGAAAAATATGAAAGTCAGTTGGGATGATTATTCCAATGTATGGAAAAAACAAATGTTCCAAACCACCAACCAGGATACGTATATATCATATATATGTATATACCTAGCCGGGATGATCGATTTTTGATTCAGGTGAGGGAGAAAAAGATCCGTTTGTAGGCAAAATACTGTTTTACATTGTTTTAGCCATACATGTTAGTACGTTTACCATTTTTGGGGGGTATTTGGAGAGTCTAGGTATATGATATTATATATATGATGACGTAGAGAAATGGAAGTCATGGTTCCATGGATCATGGAAGACGGCAGGTTTGAATATTCAAAGCGATTTTGTCAGGGTCCTGGGGTGAGGCATAGTCTGAATGTGGGTGTGATGCAGTATGACAGCAAACAAGTCTGCGAACATGGTATCAAAGAATGCATTGAACAAGTCTTGAAGCAACATAGACAATTTTTGAAGAAACCACGAGTCAAAAAGGCTGGTCTACTTATGTCTACTTAACGTAATCATACGACATATCAAATACCATCGTAGAAAATTCAGAGATGCCATGTGCTACACATGCCAGCAGTTTCCAAATTCAAAGATCTCAGCTGATTAGTTCTCTTGTTGATCGACGGTCGGAATTCACAGCTCATGGCTAGTATCACGTTCAAATATGCTATACACATCAGCATCAAACCCTGACACTAGACCCTTTACTCTCCATGGTTCAACAAATCCTGATCTTCAGGGGGTCACTAAAATTCGCGAATTGCTACAGGAAACCATCCCATTTTTGAGGCGAAGGACTAAAACCACATAATTTTACGATTACATCCAAGATTTAACGTATTGTTTGATAAACCTCCGTCAAAATCGAGAGGTTGAATTCAAAAAGGAGTGTTGCCCCGGTTTTTGAGACAAGTACCTACGTTTATTGTTTGCTTATGAATTTCTGCATCAGTTTTGAGTTGGTTTCCATGCTCAACCCCTTCCAACATTAAGCAGCCCCCAGAAATAGTTTAAGTTTAGAGGATGTTAAATCATACCCTAGTCTTCCTGGTTCCGGAAACTATGTTTGGTTACCTGTCTGACCTGTCTCATGGGTAATTGAAGTGGTTACCTGGGTTACCTCTCCCAAAGGTAACTGGAAGGTTAGGGATATTACCCTCTGGAAATTTAACATAGCTATTGAAAATGGCCATTAATAGTGAGTTTTCCCATTAAAAATGGTGATTTTCCATAGTTATGTTAGTTTACCATAGGGTAATAGAGGGTAAACCTCCATTTTCCTATGGTTTTCCCATGGTTTTCCCATTAAAACCTCCATTTTCCTATGGTAAACCACCATGGAACAACGATCAAGTCACAGTGGTGCTCACCGTGCTACGCGCAGCGGCCACGCGCCGCGCCGCTGCCTCGAAATGGGTCAAAACCTTAAGGACACCTGGTTAATGGCGTGAAAATAGCTGGTACCCTCTGGTAAACTAACATAACTATGGAAAATCACCATTTTTAATGGGAAATTTCACTATAAATGGTGATTTTCCATAGTTACGTTAAATTACCAGAGGGTACCCTCTGGTAAACATAGAAAAAAACGCTGGAACATCCCCATTGTTCATGGGTAAATCAACTATTTAACTATGACCATTGAATAAATGTCGCAAACTGTTAGTTTACCAGAGGGGTAAATGAATTTACCATCTGGTTATTTGACATATGGAAAATCCCTGAACTAAATGGAGGTTTTGTTCGCTGGGAAAATCATCTATTTCAATGGGCCACGGCCTCTGGGATGTTCATCCCCCTAATGGTATTTGTGATGCTATTGATCCATGGCCACATCTTGAGTGCCCAATGCTGGCAAGAGCCAGTAACAGATTTTAGATTATTTTAGTACATAAAAATAATCCGATCTAATTAAACACATCTAATGAACTCTATCTTATTGAATCCTGATCTGAGTCAAAGCTAATTAAAACTATCTATATAATCCTAACGAATCCTGTCTAATCCTATCTAATCCTACTGGTATCTATCGAAACTATCTATACCCCAAAAAAAGTAAAACTAAAATTAGTATCCATTGTTATACCAATGGGATGCAACGTTTCAGCTCCAAACACCAGAGAATTCTCTGGAGAACTATGGGATATACTGATATACTATATAGACAATCTGTACATATGGAGTGGCCCAAAACAGCTAAGTTGGAACTTTCAGGAAAAACGCCCTGCCAAAACCATCACCAGTCAGGCTCATCACCCCTTAAGGTCACAAGTAGAATTCTTTGAATTCCATGTTTCTTCGCTGTTTCAAGGTGCAGTTTGGCTTCAGTTTTGGTCCAAGCTGGATTCCGTTGCATCATTTCCCCACAACATCAGTTCCACAACGTCAACCGATCGTCTAGCATTATCCCAGTTGGGGATGGACATAGAACACATGTTCAAACCACCCTTTATTACAAAAGTTATATGCAAAAGGTCTGGTACGGTATATCCCATATATTCCTATATATGATATATCTATTGGTGAAGATCTGAATATCCCTCTTCTTCTTGGGGCTTAAAATCATTGAACATCGGTTGAATAAATCCAAACTTATCTAATCTTCGTTGGGACAACCTTGAACAAACCTCACATTAACATTTGTTTTTGTTGCTTGGTGGTTTTAACCCATTCCAAGAATATGCTTGCCATCTCAACATCCCAAGGATGATCAAGAAACCGTAAATAAATAATAGTCGTTAACACCCCAAACCAGTTTTCTCTGGATCCTCCTAAGATCTCCTCTGATCTTGGGCTGGGCCCGCCTCAATTGCTGAACGCCCACCGCGGGTCACAGTGCTACTCGGCAGCCGGTCCTTGGTTCTGAAACCAGCGAGGCTGGCAAAGAAAAGCCGATATGACAAAGGGAAACGCATGCACAAATGGCATATACTATACATGTTACTTGTACGTATATACTATATCTATATAATCTATCTCTATGGGTATGTAATGTATTGTAATGTAATGTAATGTATTGTAATGTAATGTATGTATGTATGTATATATATATGGTATTCAATGACATGCAACTAACCAGCAAACAACACTATATTTGGATTTGTCTGAAAAAATGAAATTGACTGGTTTATCGGGGATCAGTGGGACAGCGTGGGGATAGAATACAGGGATTAAGCTTGAAATGTTGGTTGGGTTTACAGTAATAATTTAGTTTTCATATGGGAATTTACAATGTACAATGGTTCAGCAACAGTATCAATGGGATAGAATGACCCTGTTGGACTCTCTCCAGGCGCCATCTCTTTAGTCCAGTGCGCTAAGGCGGCCGAGGTGCCAAAAGTTTCCCCAACTCTGTTGAAACATGTTCACCTGGCATTCAGTGAGGAAAAAAAACGCCCTTGAGGTGAAAAAAAACATAAAAAAACTTCACTGGTCAGAGCAGACAGTGGAGGAAACAAGCCACCCATCCACCCTAAAAAGAAATACCGTAGAGACACCATGTCGGAGATGCGAAACCGCAAACGCTACCTCTGTTTTTCCCTATGTCAAATGGAGATAAATCAAAACCCACCCTGGTGGACCTGGTGGACATATATTCATAGCTGGCAAGTAAATGTTCATCAACTCAAATGCATGGCTTCTGGCATCATTGGTTTTAAACATGTTTACACCATATCATGGCCTTCTTCCACGGTTCCTTCTGTGTTGTCAAGCCAGTCCTCGCGGAGCTGGAACGGGGCGGCCCATGACATGCCGAGACATGCCGACATGCCGACCAAATCTCTCAGGCGTGCTCAGATCTGGTTCCATTTTTTCACTCCGACAAAAATCGAAGAATGTAGCAAACCCAACAATTGACAATAAACCACCCTTGGTAGTACCAGAAATGGGTGACAATCTATCATCCCATTGGGTTTACCACGGTACTTAAGATAGCTATTTTAAAAACATATATCATCATATATCTACCCCCTGGTGGGGAATCCCTTCGAAATATTTCGAAATGGAGGTTTATAGCTGGGGAAAGTATCGAACTAAATGGTGGATTCTACAGCAAGCCAACGTTTGATGACACCGAGGGTAAATAAAAACACACAAAGATTGGGGATACCGATAACTATTATAGGGGGGCCAATTGGACAAAGATCCCGTTAGATTCAAATTGGATAATGTATACGTTTATAATCATACATCCCATGCTGTAAGATAATTATCTGTTTTGATTTAAACAAAATCACGTGTAGTTTCATCGGTTTTCCAATTGGAGCCCATTCATGTTACGGTATATCCCATCAAAATCCATGAAAATTACAGTAAAGTCAGTAAATCACTACTTAAAAATCCCATATATCATCAAAATCACTACAAAAATCCCATAAAAATCCCATGAAAAATCACATCACTCGAAAATCCCATGAATTCACTGCTCCACAGGCCCGGGGGTTCACCCGGTCCTGCCAAAGCTTTAAGCCCTCGGACAGCTGCTGATCGGCCAGGCGCCCATTTTGCTGTCGCACCTGGATCTCCTGTGGCTTTTCATTGCGGGTATTTATGCCTATCATATGCATACCATGTATATTTATTACAATAATATGCAATAATAAACTATAATTTAATGATATTTCAATATCGGTTCTGATTTCGAGTGGAATTGGCAAAGATGGAGTGGAGTCTGTATAGTAGTCTGTATAGTGTGAACAAAAACTGGGACACCATGTGGGTTTACAAGTGGGCCACCATTTCATTCAAGGGAAACTCCTGTCCACAAACTCCAAAAAAAACACTTGTGAGCAGCTCTGATGGCCATCACATGTTCCTGTCAACCACTTGTCCCACAACGGCTGTGAACTACTTGGCTCTGCTATGAATTCAATTGTAACTCGGATTTGTGTTGCAACATGGGGCTGTCCTCACGTGCAAGCGTTTCTTTGAGCTCTTGCCAATATTCCTTCCGTACATCTTCGTCGCCTGTGCGCACCGAGAAAAATGGATCTGCTCAATCTGCTCCGTTTGTCCCGTGCCAAGCCCTTTAAATCTTCAAGCCACCTTGTGCTATCCGAGCACTTCCTACCCCATGGCTGGCACGGAAATTCACCGGAGACCCAAAAACGCCTACGACGCGGGCGCCTACGGCCTGTTCTTCCCAACGCTCCTTCAGCCTGGACATGGCAATGGGATGCAATGGTTACAGGACACCCAAAAAGAATGCTTGGGTTTGGTTCTTATTAACCGTCAACGATCACTTTCAAGACCTTAACCAGCTATCATTGGGGTCACCAAACTAAAAGGTTGTACAGTGTACAAATGATCTTCGCATTGAAAACATCTTTCTCATCTCCATGATTATCAAAATGTTGCTGTGAACTACTTCTGTGCAGTCCAAGCAAACTCAAAAGCAAGCCGAGACCTTAGGCCCCAGCTGCACCAAACTAACACTGCAATGAAACATTGATACTACACAACAACTTGCGTTGATTTGAATCTTAGATATATTTGGCCGCCAAGTAGAAAACCAAATGCCAATGATTCAATTTCCTGCAAAGGATACCCTCCCGTAATCCAAGTTTGCCATGAAAAATACCGACTGCAAAATCCATTTGTAGACAGTTGAACCTCCCAAAACTTGGGATGTTCAAACCAGCAATGTTTGATAACCCAAAGGTGCAGATCTACCCCTCTCAGCGTGCCAAATCTTTCCACACAAGATTGGCTGAACTGAGACCACCAGACTAAGAACGAGTTGAGATCACCTCCCAAGAAGGCCGATTGTTAGCTTTATAATAAAGATAATTCTCCAATTTATGGCTAGAAAACTTGGGTGCTCCAGTTTCACCATGTTAACTGGGCCTATGTTCCATCCCAAACCTAAGATTTAAATCGTTAATTCCGAATGTGTCATTTTATGAACATGAATAAATAATATCATTGGTATGCCCCAAAGATATAAGATTCCCCAAGTGCATACCCTCTGGTAAACTAACATAGCTATGGAAAATGGTCCATTAAGATGGATTGTCTATTAACATATGTACATTTTCTACAGTTATGCATAGTTATGCTAGGTGACCAGAGGGTAAGATGTTTCCAAACATGGAATATCATGGAATCCACGTTAAGACGTACCCTGCCGGGCGTACTCATGGCGCTGGCTGCGGAAAAACGCTCGCAGCGCTTCGTCGGTCACTGGGAGCCGCGTGTCATCGGGCAGCTTCTGCAGCTGAGGAAATGTCGTGCAGCCGGGAGCATCGGATGGTGGTAATGGGGCATTTTCCCAATGATTAATCAGGTTAAACTATTACCCCACCATTGGGAAACTGATTTTTTCCCAGGAATTGGTTAATTCCCAATTAATCAGGTTAAATCCATCAGAAATGGGTGTTTTAATTCTAATGGAGTTTCATGGTGAACTGGCAAACCGACTGATTGTAATCCCACCGAGGTTTCTGGAACTACTCAAGTTATGAGGTTGGCAAACCGGCAAACCAAATGATGCGGTTCTACCAGTTGGGAACATTACCATGTTGCAGCACCCAGAAGACAAAACCAAAGAGCGTGTTCGATTTGCCTAAAGCACAAGTAAAAGAGTGCACGGGCATTTGGGTTTACACATTTCACCATTGTTAGTCATTAAACAAGTCCTTCTAATTATTCTAATTGGGGTGATTCAATGAGAAAAACAACAACCAGCAAACTAATCCGGAAACTCTAGCGGCTGTTTTTTCACCGGTCATCCAATCCGTCTTAACCCGGGGGGATTCTCAAAGGGCCAAGGCCACGTTTCCCGTTTTCAGCATGTGCCCATTGGAGGTTTTTGTTTCTTTTGATCCTGAAAAAGAGTATCTACCACGCAACAAACAAAGACACTTCTGAAGAACTTTGGCATCCCTGCTGTTGCAACTTCTTTCTCAGCTGTTTTGTCTGTCTTGGGTCTGTCTTGGGACCCTTGTCATATCTTGTCATTGGCATATATTGGCATCATTTGGTGATTCAGTATCTGGTTGGTGGTTTTAACCATCTTGAAAAATATTAGTCAATGGGAAGGATTATCCGAGAGTTCTCCATTTGGCGTTCACTTTCATTCAAGCTAGGGGGAGGTGCACCACCCCCTCCCCCCAGCCTTGCTCCAAACCCGATCAAGCTAGAAGGGGCTGCACCACCCCCCCCCTCCAGCCTTGCTACTATCATCTTCCTGCACAACGCACCATCCCCTACCTCAAAGCTTGGATATCCACCACCTGCAGCGTACCTTCAGAGATGCACCACCCCCCCCCAGCTATTCCCATTCCATAGGGGAGGGGTGCACCACCCCCTCCCCCCAGCTGTGCCCATCCAAGGTTGGGGGGGGTGCACCACCCCCCCCCAGCTATGCCCATCCAAGGTGGGGGGGGTGCACCACCTCCCCCCCCCAGCTGTGCCCATCCAAGGTGGGGGGGGTACACCACCCCCCCCCCACCTCCACCCCTTCAAGGGGAGAGATCTTTTGTCTACTGCAAAATTGATTCGGGGGAGGAAGAGTAGGCTGCATGAAGAGTAGAGTAAGCTTCATGACGAGTAGATGCTTGTGTGTGAAAATGGCTAAGACTCCACACAACCATGACAGCACATACGATCACAACAAGTGTCCATTTTTTCCTTTTGGTAGTCATCTTTTGCAAAATGCGCTTAACCAAGTTCTACCATTTGCTTCCACCTTAAGAAATTTATGCGGGGTAATGTTTAAGGCACAATACAAGACAAACGACACCAGACACAAGAACAAGAAGAAGAACAAAGAACAACAACGAGAACAACAAAGGAAAAGAAGCGAAACGAAACGGATCAAAGCCAGAACGCTGTTCTTCCTGTGTTCTTTGGGGGGGAGGCGCTGCGCCCTTGTTTTTGTTTCGACCTAATACCTACATAGGTACATGCATGAGTATTGAGCACATTTATATGCGCCTTCAAGGCTCAAGAAAGAGGTATATAGAGTAACCCTGTAGACAAGCACTGACCGGCAACAGGCTGAGAGTAAAAGAGTGCTGTCATTGGGGAAGACGCCTTAGCTGATCTTGAAGTAGACGCTAGGGCCCCTCTTCAAGTGGTAGAGGAGCAGTGATCCCTCATTGAGGGTGAGCTCCAGGTAGAGCCCAAGAAATGGCAAGCCATGGCTATGATGATGATGACTTCGACATTGTCGATGCAAATGAATGGAACCAATATGACTCTTATGCAATGAGAAGAGCACCCCAGCATACACAGATTCATATGACGCAACAGATGACCACAAAGGTTGCTCCAGCCTATGATGGGCGAACCAGCTTCTTTGCTTTTGAGGATGCAATCGATGACTGGTGTGACATTACGGAGTTAGAACCAGAGAAACGTGGTCCAGCATTGCGCAACAGACTGGAAGGAGATGCTCAACAATACAAGAGGCTATTGGATAGAGAATTACTCAGGGATCCCTATGAAGGAGTGGCTTATTTCAAAAGATTTCTACGACCTCATTTCATCAAAGGTGCCCAGAACGTGTTCTTATACCGTTTCATGCAGTTCATGAAGTTCAACAGAGGAACCATGGATCTTCAGAAGTGGATGACTAGATTTCAACTCACTGGCAATAGACTTATTGAGTCTTGGATGGATTTACTTCCAGAAGTAACAGTGACTAGTCCTGAAGCAATTCTGTTTGTTCAACAACGACGTCAAGAACATGAACGAGATCAACAAGAGAGAGCTGAAGTAGCAGCAGCCTCAGGAACACCCCATGTAGCTGTTCCTTGGACAGATGAACTGGCACTAGCGGCATTCAGACAATTTCAGGAAAATCGTAGAGAAGCACAGCGACAAGCATTCCCACTGGGTGAAAATTTGCTAGCATTGATTTTTGTAAGTCTAGCTGACCTGAGTCAAGATCAGAGAAACACACTCACAAGTATCATGACACATCGTGGACGAACCCTCGATCGATACAGTATTCAAGAACTACGTGACCTGTTTTTGGAAATGTTTTGCACTACCAAAACAGCAGTTGACAATCCATTGATGCAACCCTCTGGCATGGCACAGAGAAGATCTTTCCTCGTACTGGATGAAGGTGAATTAGAAGGAACCGACGGCTATTGGGCCGAAGATGAAGAAGACGGCGCAGAAGGATTCCTGGATGCTTTAGAAGATGTTTTCTGGGTTTATGATGACGCCAACTTCACATGGTATCAGAGAAGGTTCCAAGGCAAATACATCAGACGAGGCAAAGGTAAAGGAAAGAGAAAAGGAAAAGGAAAAGGCAGAGGAGGACGAAGGTTCTTCAAATCAAGAAAAGGAAAAGGCCGAGGAAAAGGAAGAAGAAAAGGCCGTGCTCACATGGTGAGTGAAGAAGGTTATGAAGATGAATGGCAAGAAGATGAATGGAATGAAAACTATGACGGCTATTGGGCCGATGATCAAACCTGGAATGAAGGCTATTGGGCCTATGATGATCTGTACTACATGGATGAGTATGGATACTTCCAGAAGAAAGGAAAAGGAAAAGGAAAAGGAAAGAAAGGCAAGAAAGGCAAGAAAGGCAAGGATGATGATGGAAAAGGAGGAAAGCCAGGAGATGGAAAAGGCAAGTCGAACTACGTTCAACCTCAGACCACATCAGCTCCTGCCATACAGAATCAACCAACTCAACAAGCTCATTATTCTTCTGCAGCTTCAAGTTCTGGTCATGGTTTCTTTTCATTTGGAACAACTGACCCATTACGTGTTGATGTTGCAGAGACAGAGCCAGCACGTGTTGATGTTTTGACATCCACGTATGCAGCACAAGATGAACAACGACGCACTCGTCGTGGAGGACAGAACCAACGTGATGCAAGAGCACATCAAAACAGGAGAGAAATGAAGAGATTCCCTGTTCTGGTTGGAGAAGTTGGTGCACTACGACAAGGTGTACAACAACGTCCAGCTGTAGTGCCCAGGCAAGTTGGTCTTCAAGAAGGTGAGGCTTCATGGAAGCCATTGGCAAAAGGCACATCATTGTTTTCATATGGATGCTCTACAGAGATAGAGGAACCATCACAGCAGAGTGCTTTTTCATTTCATACTGTACAAACTGATCTGGCATGTGAGAATGGACTAGCTTTTCACACAGAGAATTCTGCACCACCAACTGTGTGTATTCTGGATCTTGGAT